GATTCTTTACCAATTGAGCCACCAGGGAAGCTCCATATATATCATATATGTGTGTGTACACACACACAAACACACACACATACATGGGTGTGTACACACAATCCTTGTATTTTCATTTGTTTTAAGTAGATTTGCAGTTCTTCTAGACTATTTAAAAAAAATATGACTCACTTTTGGTAAAACACTTGACCTTTTGTTGGCCTGCTGAGGAAATGGTGCACATAAATTTTCATTATCGTGGGTATAGTGGTACCTATTACCCTTTAATAGGTGAATTTTTCTTACCTTATAAAATGTGAGTAATTCAGAGTCTCTTTGTGTACAAAAGTTAATAAACCTTTTAAAATTATCAAGATTATACTAAATTACAAAAACATTTTATATGCCTTATAAAAAGTCTTAACTTTTTAGCTAAAAGCATTACACAGACCTTGGTCTAATTCACCATTGTATTTCTGCTTAGAAGACTTTTTAGTCTATTCAGGTTGATCATTCATGTGTTCATTCATTTGGCATGCAATTAAGTGTTGNAATCATAGAATCTCTGTAGCAGAGATTCCATATGCCTTGCCTCTTCCGTAACAGATTCTCTTCCTAGGAGAGGGCGAAATCAGGTCCATTCTGCACCTGGGGCTGTGTGTGCAGCCTCCACTGGACTATTCAGCAAATAGGGGCAGCCTTTTTAATTTCAAGCTAACTCCCTGTGCTAGTATAAAAAGTACTGAGAAATTAATTGGTGTTTTGCATTATTCACAGAAAGTTGTATTTTTTCTAGAACTATCTTTGCAAATTATTGTAAAGTGTTCATTTTACTTCTTAATTTTACTTTTGATACTAACAGTGCTGTTGCCACTGCTAGCAATTTTTCTGTCACAGTTTCTGCTTTAGACAATTTTCATTTGTTAGACCTACCTATGTGTGTGTTTAAGCTCATTAAAGAATCATGTGGATCTGTGAAACTAGTTTCATATGACTGTAAGTTTTCATTAAGATATTGACTCCCAATCTAATTTGGTAGGAGGCTGAGGGCTTGGACCCAGTCAACAGGCCCCTATTTCAAAGTAGAGAACTGAATTTTGTAGGTTTTGTGTTTGTTTTTTTTTTTTAAGACTGTAACTGATAAGATTTTAATTTTATAATAGTTCAATTCTTTTTGGAAGGGTACTTTCAACACTAAAACTACCCCCAAACTGGAAATTATGTATTTCTTATGAACAGCACAGGGCAGCCCTGTATTTTATCGGCAAAAGTCACTCATGGAAAGAGTACAAAATGTGAGGCAAGACCAATGCTTTAAAGCATAAAAGATTCTGCAACATACTGAGAAGAGACTATATACCAGAAGAGATGCTTAAAAAGGTGGCTTTTTCATTCGTAACTGGTATTTTCTGAAAATTCTGAAAATCTACTAAAAGTCCACTTTCAGCAACTGAAATAATACAAACTGGCTACTTCCTATAAGTGTACCTGGTTGATCCTCTGAATACATTTCATTAAGAATCACTATAATGAATGATAGAGTGTGAGAGGAAAATCACGTATAGCAGTTTGTGAACAACCAGATGTTATGAAGCTTCCTCAATGTTAATTTTAAAAATCTGAATTCACTCAAGCAAATCATTTTCTGAAATTAAACCAGAGAGTTTTGTTAATGTTCTTTCATCAGAATGTTACCATTTCCATTTTCACATGTAAAACATTGGGAAAAACCTGAACTGTAATAAAACTAAACTGGTAATTACCTTTGATTGCTACTAACAACCTAGCATGTCATCAATACAATTAAAATGGATAGAAAGTTTTGCATATTGTGGCAAACAGCATGAACTGGATATACTCAAAAGCCACTCGTATCTGCTTTCTCTCTTGGCCTTTCTCTCCTGTAGAGGCCAGAAAAAAAAATGTACTTGATTTCAAATACCTGCAGTTAGGGACAGACATAAGACATGGGCCTGGCCAGGGAGGGCTGTCCTTTCCAAATAAAAAGTAAAGATTTGCTAAGAGAAAGCCCCTTGGCCTCTTTCTCTTTTTTCTTCTCTGGATGTGGAAGGACCAGAGATATTATAGTCCCTTTAACCAAAGGACAATACAAATGAACACAAAGGTCTACCTGGCAGATCACACAGAGGTGAAAGGAGTCAGTGTTCCTGAGCCACGTTCTCAGGGCTGGACTGCCCACCTCGGGACTTCTTATTGCATAAAATACATACAAGCTAACAGATTAAGCTACTCTAGTAGGGTTTTTCTACTAGTGCAGCTGAATGCACTTGTAGTAGATATGAATATAAAATTCCGAGTAAAAATCCAGTTAAGAGTCATGAAGAAAAAAAAAAGTTATGAAGAAAATCTTCAGCAACCCTTCAAATATTCTTAAAAGGGCCTCTATGATAATTTTATCTGAAGAAGACAAATACTGCACAACCAATTTAAAAAAAAAAAGGGAGAGGAGGAAGATGATGTTTGATGGTAGTGAGACTATTCCAATGCCAAACAAAAATGAGATAAGGCTGGAGAAGAGCATGACTCTAATAGCAAACAATTATGGTCTAGTATTTCTTACTTGTTAGTTTCAACAGTCAGCGAGTCCATTTCTTGGGCAAGTCCATTTCTTGGGCAGAGGGATTCTAATATTTTTTAAGTCTGAAACTTCAAACTTGGGAACTTTTCCTCCAGGTTACCAGCAATGGTCTTCTCAGCTTCACAGAGGATTTTCAGAAAATCTTCCACCATAGGGCTACAGAAAGGAAGAAGAGTCTCAAATGCACAGGAACACTTCTGTTTGCTTAACTTGCCTTCCTTTAATCTCTGAGTTACCTTTCTCCTTTGTTAATACTTGGAAAATATTAGAAATTTACAGGAAATATCCTTCAAGATTTTCAAGTGGAAACCATCTTGGGTTAAATCAGACTTTTAGTTTCTTCCATGTTAGACTCCGTTGAGTTCTCTGCGTCCTTCCGACAATGTTCCATATTTTGTAAGACACAAATCAGGCTGTCACTTAGAGAAAGATCCACTCTTCCTATCTTTAGATACTCCTGTTCAGTCTGTGAAGCATAGATGGCAGACAACACTGAAAAAACAAGAGGCCAGCACTGTTTTCTGTTCTTGCAGTATGATGGGCGGATTATCAGACTGGCAGAATTCATGGCACACTAGGTCAAAAAGTATATTCCAAGTGTCTTTCCCAGTGTCAAGACACTGTACAATTGCTTACATTCAATCATCTACTGTGGTGAGCAGCTGTAAGACATGCATGTAAACATCGAGCCCTTCTGGATTTTCAGAGTGTACTTGTTTTGCAGCTTCAAGTACACAGGGCACAATTTGAAACACTGGATGCTGTTCAGAATCTTCCTGGGGTTGGTGCAGAGCCTGAACAGCCCCACTTCTAATCCATTCCAACATTAGCTTCTCATCCAAATCAAACAGCTTGTCCACAACTTCCCCAACCTTTACCAGCAAGTCAACATTTGTTGAACTTGACATGAAGCAAATGCTAGCATAAATAAGCAAATGCTAGCATAAATAGCTGGATTTTGTCAGATTCTTTCAACCCAGACACTGGCCACTTCTGTCTGGGAAAGGCAAGTAAGTAACAACCTGCTTGTTACCAGCAGAGTAGGAGGGTCTGAATACTTGGCCAAGATTTTTATCACTGCTGATGGACACACATATCTCCTGGAAATGGGCCATATTACCTAAAATTCCCACACATATTTCTCTTAATCGAGGACATTTGGATTTGGCCAATACTCCCATAAATATGTCAGGAGCATTAAATTCTTGGAGAAACAAAGCCACATTCTCATCCGTTGACATATCCCATACTCTGCAAATTTCATTCTCCATTTCTTCATCAAGCTCCATCTGCTGCTCCTCGTCATCAGAGCTGGATTTGGCATTTTCAGGGCTAACCATCTGGATGAGCCCGTTGAGGATGCCAAAAAGCCAGTGCTTGCTGGAGACCACGCTGCCTATGCAATCCCCCAGGGCCGTTGCCACCTCCTCCGCCAGTAGTTTTTAGTATGAATTAGGTATCTACTGAGAAAATGAAAGGTGTTGTCTTTTGATGAGAGATCACTTTAAATTTTGGATTACAACTAGGAAGGCAAAGAAGTAAAACTGCTAGAACAAAATTTCCATTTCGAAGTATTTATTTTTCTAAACAGTTTCAGACTATAAAAAAATACGTTCGAACACTAGATATGTTCATATAAGTATGTTCAAACATATACAGATAGAACATATAGATAGGTTCAAACACATATCTATAAAAGAGAACAAAGGAAAAGAAATAATGCCTACACACTGCTATCACTGTAACTGTAACAATACTATGTGCCCATGAGTGCACAAACTCACTCAGGCAGAGAGGAAAGGAGGGTGTGGGAGGCAGACACAACTATCCAGATCTTTAAATGAGGCAGTTTTCACTAAAGTCTTATTTTCAGTTTTATATATACCTGTCAAAGCTTATTTATATTTAAACAATTGTGTGTTGTCCAGATGATTTTTAAACTTATTTCTGCTCACCAACAAGTTTTTAAATCTCAATTTCCATTTTTGTGTATAAAGCAGATAAAACTAAATCGACATATCTTACATTAGGATGAAATGCTGAATCTGAAGTTGGATGAAAATGAGCTCGAGGTGAAAAAAGAATTACCAAACCCAGCTCTGTGTTAACGAATAATAGTGTATTCTATAAACTGATGGTGGTATTGAATAGCTATTTCAATAGAAACCTTTAAAAAAACTGATGTGAGACCATTTTGTTTTGTAAAACGTCTTGTCTTGGGATTTGCATTCTTGCAACTACTAACCAACCATAGAGTATTTTGGACGCCAAGTTTAAAATGTGTGGAGTTTTAGAAATTCTTTTACAGTGGACCCATGTAGAAAAAAGAATGAGGCGGGCGTTTTTCCAGCCGCTGTGGTTGAGGACACGGTGGCGGTGGGCACGTTTTCTGCCCAGCCCAGCCCAGCCCTGCCCTGCCCAGCCCAGCCCTGCCCAGCCTTACCAACCGAATCAAGTATCCAACCTTCTTCCTTTGGACATAATTTGCAAAAGCCCGGTTGTTAGCCTTTAATTGAACGTCAGTCCTTGCCAGAGATGACACGACCTTTCAACAACACATCTAATTCTCAAAACAGCTCAAGAAAGTGATTATTTGAAATCCTCTTCTTACAAATAAGGAAAAACAGGCAAAAAAGGTAGGCGATATCTTCTTCAGTGTGAACTCTTCACGCTAAAGCACTTTCTCTGAACTAAGATGACATTTTCCAAATGAATGCCGTGAACTCAAAGGGAAAACTGTGCGTCACCAGTGCGTCACTGAGAATAATGGGGCTGAAGTGGAAGTTTACATTTGCTGAGAAAAAGGTTAATTTTCTCTTAAATTGCCCTCCTTTCCCCAGTCCCGCCCTAGGTACCTGCAGCCAGGGTGGGCTTACTACATCCAGTTCTGGAGCACAGAGAGCTGTGTTCCACTATGCTTCCATTTTCCTTTCGGTTTCAAACATTCCGCCTTTGAAGAATCCAGACATGCAAACATCCTCCGGTAAATGTTCATTGCCTTAGGATAAAGATATCTGGTCTGGGCGGAGATGCATCGCCAGGCGCCAGCGCCAAAGCTGTACAACACCCTCATTAATAAACACGGAGGTATTCGAATGGCATACAATCTCTCTGGGGAAGCGGGAGATGGGGCGGTGGGGGTGATGATGACCCGCGCCACCCACCCACAGGCGAACATCATGCGCACACAAAATTGTACCATGCCCGCAAGCGTCAGAAATGGCACTCTCCAGACCCTAAAGACATTTGAAATCAAGGTTCCTATTTTGTTTAGTGACGCGTCGCTAGCTTTGAGTGGAAGCAGTGGTGGAGACGCAGCCTTTTCATTGTTTCCCGCACTGTTATTTCTCCTCGCCAGCCCATCCCCGACCACTGGTGAAATGTAGGTACACTTTCGCATTCTGCTCACATACACACGCGCGCGCACGTCTATGGGGCAGGGGGGTGGGGGAGAAATCCAAGCGCGCTCCTAGTAACCTAGAAGCCACCACGAAGTAGACAAGGGATGCTTTTACATAACAAACCCTTCACGTGTTCGACACCCTTTCTCGATCTTGTAAGTGGCTCTGAAAAGAGCCTTTGGGTTTCCGGGCACCGAGATGCAGCTCATTTAGAGCTGGTGTATTTGGTGACGGCTTTGGTACCTTCCGAAACAGCGTGTTTGGCCAACTCGCCGGGCAACAGCAGGCGCACCGCCGTCTGCACCTCTCGGGACGTGATGGTAGAACGCTTGTTGTAGTGCGCCAAACGGGAGGCCTCGCTGGCGATGCGCTCGAAGATGTCGTTCACGAACGAGTTCATGATGCCCATAGCTTTGGAAGAGATACCGGTGTCCGGGTGCACTTGCTTCAACACCTTATACACGTAGATGGAATAACTCTCTTTGCGGCTGCGCTTACGCTTTTTGCCATCCTTCTTCTGCGCTTTAGTAACAGCTTTCTTGGAGCCCTTCTTGGGTGCGGGAGCTGATTTGGACGGATCTGGCATGACGGCGGATCTTTCCAAATAAAAGAGAAGCCTCTTTCCAGAGCTACTTAACTTATACGTCCTGTATTCAAATGAGGAATCTAGAGTTTCTAATTTCTGATAGGATCAAGCAATGCGCAACGTCATCACTGGAAAAGGCAGATGCAAATTAGGGGGAAATGGTGACTTCCTTTTCTGGTTGGTCACCATTACTACCCAATCGGGCGGCGCCGGCTGCACTACCTCAAGACCATATATAAGGACTCTCTGATTACAGTGGGTTTGTGGGTGTCCTGTTTTTTGGCTTTGTCTGGTTATCGTGCGTGAGTGGGAGATGTCCGGCCGAGGCAAACAGGGCGGTAAGGCGCGCGCGAAAGCGAAGTCGCGCTCCTCGCGCGCGGGCTTGCAGTTTCCTGTGGGCCGAGTGCATCGGCTGCTCCGCAAAGGTAACTATTCTGAGCGTGTGGGTGCTGGCGCGCCTGTCTATCTGGCAGCAGTGTTGGAGTACCTGACGGCTGAGATCCTGGAGCTGGCGGGCAACGCGGCGCGCGACAACAAGAAAACGCGTATTATCCCACGGCATCTGCAGTTAGCCATCCGCAACGACGAAGAGCTCAACAAGCTGCTGGGCCGCGTGACCATCGCGCAGGGCGGTGTCCTGCCCAACATCCAGGCCGTGCTACTGCCCAAGAAAACCGAGAGCCACCACAAGGCCAAGGGCAAGTGAGGCGACGGAGGCGGGCCGGAAACGGCCGTGCTCCCCAGGGGCCCCCCTGACACCAAAGGCTCTTTTCAGAGCCACCCACAGTGTCTAGAAAAGAGCCGTACTGGCCGAGGGCTGTCTTTCGGAGCGTGTTTCTGCGCGAATCTGAGCAAGGTTGGGCTTGAGGGAAATCGAACCAAAGACATGATTTGGGTGCGCATAGGGGCACAGTGGGCTGTGTGTTTGTTTGCTGCAGGTAACGTCTGACTTTTCTCTTGAATCTCACCCCCAAGGTCATGGAGTTTTAATCCGACTCATCCTTAAGAATTTGTTATTACCGGTGACAAGCTCCTTTTGATACTGTGACATTCAGATGCCAAGTACGGACTGTTTTCTTATCCCAGGAGAAATCCATAGATTGAACTGGTATTGAAAGTATTTAATCTTAAAAGAAAATCTGTCGTTTGAGGTTCTGATAGATAAGCGTGATTTCCATCTTAAAAGGTATGAACGCGTGAGTTAGATTTTTAGAGAACATGAGATCAGAATTGTCTATTGTATTGCGAATTCTTAAGTTCTTGGGAAGGGTATATCTTGTTAGATGCGTTTTCAGTATTTGAAATGTATCAGGCTACATTTTGAAAATGGGTGCACATTTTTAAAGGAAAACTCATTGTAGATTATTTAAAGGAGTTTAAATTACTATATTTGTGTTGGTTAAACATTAATAAGAGCCCCTTAAACTAATAGCTAGAGTCAAAATAATCAGTACATTGAATTTGATAAAATTATTTTTGTGAATTCAGTAAATCTAAAATGAACAGTGTTAGGACCAGATTAAGTAATGTATATGTGGATATTTCAAAAGATGATTGTTCGTGTATTCCACATGCTGTTACAAATAAGGGGTGGAGTGTCCCAGATATGCTTCTGCAAAGTCTACTGAGAAGTGAAGATTTTAATAGCACTTACTTCATGGGATTGAGGGATTAAATGAGTAAATCCATAGTAATCCCCATGTTTAAAAATCTCTAGCACAGTGTGAGTTTAGTAAATGTTACTCTTGCTGTCATCCTTACTGGTTCCAGTAATTTTTTGTTATAATACATACAGGCCACTGAACCAATTTAGGAATGTTATAAATATTTATCTTACAAAATTAGATGTACTCAAACCGGAGTTCCCTAGATACTATCTGGAACTAACCACATATTTGCTAGCCTTTAGAAAATATCCTAGCAACATGAAACTGCACCAAAAATTGATAAGAACTATCAGTGTGGATAGAAATATCACTTCTAAGGCTGAGTTTATACAGCCACACGCTCTGATTAATTTTCAGCTAATTAAAATTAAATACAAAGGTGCAGTTTCTCAGTCATCCTAGCCACACATGGCTAATGGCTACCACACTGGACAGAACAGATACAGAAGGTCTCCATTATTACAGAAAGTTCTGTTGGGCAGCTCTGGTCTGATCATCTGTCAGGGTTATCAGGTTTAGAAACATGATGCAATATGCAGAGCTGCCTGCCTTGGGTAGAGAAAGCTCATCAGACTCTTGCTTAAAGAAGAAAACAGCGTATGGCCTAGCCATTCTATCCCCCAGATACATACCAGGACTCGGCTACCCAAACACCCCTCTCACATTCACAGCAGCATCCCAAAGATAGAAACAGCCCAAATGTCCATAACAGATGAATGGGTAGACAAAATGTGGTCTATCCAAATAGTGGAATACTATTCAGTCATAAAAAGGAATGACATGTTCATGGATGAACTTCAAAAATGTTGTACTAAGTTAAAGAAACTGGACACTAAAAGTCACATATTGTGTGATCCCATTCATATGATAGCATGCAGAACAGACATTCATAAGGACAGTAGATTAATTGTTGCTAGTTAGTTGTTGGGTATTAGAGGAATATGGAGTATTGTTCACTTTTGGGGTAATAAAAATATTTCAGAGATGGAAAGGGGTGATTGTGAATGCCTATATGTCACTGAATCACTCACTTTAGAATGGTTTATGTTTATGTGAATTTCACCTTGATTTAAAAAGATATGTGACCTTAATAGAAGGATATGCACTAAAAAGAAGAGGAGTTTGTGTCTCCATCTCTTTTAAGCAATAGGTGGAGTGTGGGCTGGCCTGCCTGAACAGTAGCATCCCTCAGAGACCACGTGGGGAGAGAGGCATGGAGTCCTTTGGGTAGCCACAGCCTTTTCCTTCTGCCCGCCTCGGAGTTTCAAGCCTTCTTCCCATCCAACTGACACATATCATGCATTCCCTTCACCAGAATTATCTTGGTTATTCTCCCCATATCCCTATGGGTGGGCACTTTATTAAAAGAAAGATGAAGTGGGAGGGAGATCCCAGAAGAAGAATGCAGTCTGGGTGGCCTCAGAAGCATCCATGCTCACTGCAGATAAAGTGTTCCTAGTTTCTGGAACTCTCAGCTTAGCCTGGCCCAAGTCTAATAGGCCATCTCTCCTGTCTAGGTGTGACCTGTACCCGCCTCTGCTGCACATCTAGTCTTTCCTCCCTGTAATACCGGTTTCCGTACATTCACCAACAAATTCAAGAATCTTCCAAGTGAAAAAGCAAATGGATTCCTCCCCTCTCCCCAAAGTTTCTGAGCTCCCCTAGACTAGGGAGAGCAGAGGAACTTGGAATTAGATATTGAAGTACTGGGTCACCCAGTTCCTAGTGCCATCAGATCTGGGCTGAGCTGAGCTGTTCTACATCATCCTGTTACATGGCTGCCCCATCCCTGGTCATCAGAATCTGCCTAATGCTCCCCCTCCACAGTTTCCCTACCTCCAGCTAGAGTCTTATTTTTATGTATTGCTCACAAAGCCTCATGAAGCTTTGATTTTCTCCAATGCATGCCCAGCAAAAGCTTAAAATTGCATCCCTTTCTCTGCCTGCTTCCCTCCCTCCCAGTTCCTGGTCAGCTGGGTTCTGCTGCCTCCTGTAGAGGTCTCCAGGGACACCAGGTCTTGGTGCTTCTCTCCTCTCTCAACTTTGGTCCCAACAGCCCCTCCTGTCAGTGCTGCCCATGGGTCTCCAGGACCCCTCTGCTTCCTGCTGCCCTGTCCTCAGCTCACTCCCAGCCACATGCAGCCCTCTGGGTCACGTCCTTCCAGGTCACTCCAGCAGGATATCAGATCTGCCCCCAAATGTCCTAGAGAGCATGTGGGTCAGCAGTTTGAGCCAAATTCCATCACCTCAACTAGCTTTGTCAGTGATGTTTCCTAAGGCGCATTTGACTTTGCACTCCATGATGTCTGGCTAAAGGTGAGGGATTCACATCATCATGGTTATCTGGGTCATGAAGATCTTTTTTGTATAGTTCTTTGTATCCTGGGCTTCCCTGGTGGCTCAGACGGCAAAGTATCTGCCTGCAATGCAGGAGACCCAGGTTCGATTCCTGGGTCGAGAATATCCCCTGGAGAAGGAAATGGCAACCCACTCAAGTAAGTATTCTTGCCTGGAAAATTACGTGGATGGAGAAGCCTGATAGGCTACAGTCCATGGGGTTGCAAAGAGGCGGACCCAACTGACTGACTTCACTTTCACTTTTTGTGTATTCTTGCCACCTTTTCTTAGTATCTTCTGCTTCTGTTAGGTCCATACCATTTCTCTCCTTTATTGTGCCCATCTTTGCATGAAGTGTTCCTTGGTATCTCTCATTTTCTTGAAGAGATTTGCTAGTCTTTCAGTCTTTCCCGGCAAAAAAAAGAAAACAAACCCAACAGTCCAAATTGATTTAAATAAGCATAGAACCAGACTCAGGACACAAGTGTTGGAATTATCTTTCAGACTAGAATTCTAAAACTGTGACTAAGATGTTAAGGGCTCTAATGGATAAAGTAGAGGGCAAATGCTAAGAAAGTATCAAAAGAGAATGTGAGAAATTGAAAACACTGTGACAAATGAAGACTGCCTTTGATGGGCTCATTAGCCAGCTTTCTACAGTCTAGAAAAGAATCCATGAGCTTGAAGAAATGTCAATAGAAATCTCCCAACTGAAATCCAAAATGAAAAAGGAATAATAACAATGAATAGAAAATAGAATATTCTAGGACTGGGATAATTACAAAAGCTGTAGCATGCCTGTAATCAGAATAGTAGAGAGAGTAGAAGAAATACTTGAATAATGGTTGAGAATTTTCCAGAATGATGGAGACTAAACCACAGATCCAGGGGGTTCAGAGACCACCGGTAAAAAAGAAATCTACGCTGAGGCACATTACATTCTATTACAGAAAATCAAAGATGAAAACACCTTGAAAGAACCGGGGGTGGGGTGGGGGGG